GCGCTGGGGGAACCGGGGCCGCCACCGCCACCACTTGCACAGCCTTTCCTGGCCGTTGCGAGGGGCACCACGATGCTGCGTGGTCGGGACGCTCTCCAGGTGGCCGGCTGCGGTGCAGCGGCGCGGCGGGCGAGGCGCATACGTACAGCTGCGCAGTGGCTGCCTGCCAGCAGGAGGCTGGGCCTGTTTTGGACCCCACTCACTTGTGAAGCGGCTGCACTCTATCCATCACGCCCTGTACCGCAGAGCATCTTCCGCAGTCCAGCGGGGCCGCTCCAGCCGCCCCTGTCCCGGTGCCCGGCCCCACGTCCGTGCTCCACACGCCCCCGCGACCACGCGCGCCGCGCGCGCCGCAGCTCGGCGGCGGCGGCGCCCCTCCGCCCGGCGCGCGCAACGTGGCGCCGGCGTATCCGCAACGACGGGCGGGAGGCGGCATCCTGGGGCGGGCGCTGCGGCTGCCGGTTGGGCTGCTGCAGGCGGCGCTCGGGGTGGTCGCCTCGGTTGCACAGCTCGCGCTTGCAGTGGCGGCGTTTGCTGGGGACAGGGTTCTGCCACGTGGCGTCATGCGGTCGCTTAGGGGTGAGGACAGCACGGCCGGCAGTGCAAAATGTGTGCGCATGCAGCAGCAGCACCGCCCAGTGGCAGCGGCCACGCGGCGCGCGCTTGCTGGGGATTAGTGCGGGGTTGCGTTGATGTGGTTTGCGCGGCCCAACCAAAGGCAGCTGGCTGCAGATTATCCAACATGTCAACCGAAGACATGCGGCAGGGAAATCTGTGCGCGCGTGCGCGCGCGCGCGTGCACACACACACACACACACACACACGCACACACACACACACACGCACATGTGCTCACACACATGCTCACGCACGACACACATACACGCATGCACGTGCGCATGCGCTCACGCATGCACGTGCACGCTTGCGCACACGCGCAGCGACGCCACCCCGGCCGCGCCCCCCGGCCGCACGCGCAGGCATGGCTGTCGCCCTTATCGCGGCCAACAGCGCCGCCGGGGACCCTGCTCAGCAGGCGGGCGAATTTGCTGACGCGTTCCGGGCGGCGTTTGGAGAGCGCGGACCCCAGTGGCTGCGGCAGTCGTGGGGCCAGTCTACGGCGGCCGCACACGCGCAATTCAAGTTCCTGTTTGTGTACCTGCATGCGCCTGACCATGAGGTGTGAGGATGGTTCGGATCAGTCGGTTTGTGATGCATAGGCGGTCAGGAGGGTGGGTGCGTGGGGTGGGCGGCTGGGAGGGTGGGGCTGGTGGATGAGTGGGTGGGGTGGCTACTTGCAGGGAGGGTGGTGGCTTGGGTGTGATGGTGTGGAAAGGATGAATGGGTTGGGAACCGGATGTGCGCGGGTATGTGAGCATATCATTTTGACGGGGTGCAGTTGTATGTAGGTGCGTACGCACGCACGCGTGCATGCACGCGCCCACGCATGCTTGGACGGGGTGGTTGCCCATGCCATGGGCCGTGTGTCCTCTCTGCATGCTTCTGCAGTGATGATGCTCTTGCATGCCCATCAATCAGCCTTTCACATTCACCCACCCTTCACAACCACCTCCCAGGACACGGAGGCCTTCTGCCGCAACGTCCTGTGCTCTCAGGACGTCACATCACACATCGGGGAGCACTTCTTGGCCTGGGGCGGCGACATTCGCCGCTCCGATGCTTTCCTGGTAAGGGCTTGCACGGCGGTTGCTCGAGAGGGAGGGGCCTTGGGGCTGAGGCGCAGGGATGTGCCCGCAGCTGTTGTGACGTGTGTTCATCAGGCGTGTGTGTGCATGCTGCGCGCGGCTTGGACGCTCGCCCTGACGGCGTGTGCGTTTGCGCATGCTGCGCGTGTGTTTATGACATGTCGCTGGGACTTCGCGCTGAGGTAAATGATCACCCCTCCTTTCAAAGCAAACTGTTGATTGCGAGATGCTTGAGCTTTGCTCTTGCAGACACCAGACAGACACGCATGCCTGGTGTGTGCCTCAGCACCCAATCTCGCGTGCGCCCAACCTCGCTGGCTCCCCCCTTCCGCAGCTGGCGTCGCGCCTGCACGTGACCACCTACCCGTGTGTGGCACTGCTGGCCTTCCCTGGTTCGCGCACAAAGGTGGTCGCCTGCGTGCAGGGCCGCTTCGGCGCCCCGCAGCTGCTGGCGGCGCTGCGGCGGGCGGCGGAGGAGCACGGGGTGCTGCTGACAGCGGAGCGGCTGCAGCACGAGGAGCGGGTGCGCGCGGGGAGAGGGAGGCTGATCAATGGGGTGCCTGCTGCTCGGGGAGAGGCAGGCTGGTTAATGAGGCGCCTGCTGCTCGGCTGTTGGCGGGCGTTTAGGCTGGGCAGGCAGTCCGCAGTTGACTGTTGAGCTTCGCTGCAGCCCACCCCTTGCGTCGCTGACCTGTGTGCACCAAGCTGGCCACCACTACAATGCACCTGAGCCTTGCATAACCATACGCCTGTCTGGCCGTTCTCGCACCATTTTTTTCTGCTAGCCTGTGCCTCTACCCAACATGCCTGCAACGTATCTTTCCGGCTGAGTGGCGCGTCAATCCATGCATGCGCTCACACCCACTCACCGCATACGCGTGCTGATTCTCCCCCTCGCGCACAGACACACACACACGCGGTGCACACACACACACACACACTCACACTCACACTCACACTCACACACACACATACATACACTCACACATACAGGCACGCGTGTATACAGGCACATGCATGCTTGTAAGCCAACATATGCAACCACACCTATTCAAGTGCCCTTGCGCACATGTATCCCCCCCTTGAAGGAGCAATCGCGCGTGCTGCTGGACGAGCAGAACCGGGAATACGAGGAGGCGCTGGCCGCAGACAGGGAGAAGGCGCTCAAGCGGCAGCAGGAGCAGGAGGCGCTCGATCGCGAGGCCCGAGAGAGGGAGCAGCGCCAGGCGGCGGAGAGGTGGGTGTGGCGCGGCGCTTGGGTGCAGGGTTCGAGCCATGTGCCGGTCCTTGTGAGGGCAGGGGCAGTGCCGGTTGAGGCAGTTGCGCGGTCGCACCTGGGTTTTTTATACGGTTGATTGGGGGTGCCGCATTCCCTGTGTTGCAATAGGCGCCCCTTTGCAAGGAGACCCCATGCCATGACTGCACCTCTTTCCCTGCCTCATGTGCCTCTACATCCACGCCCCAAAATCCGCCCCAGGGCCGAGCAGGAGGCCGCCGAGCGGCGCCGCACTGAGGCCGCTGACGCCCTCAACGCGCGCCGCGCCGCCGCCGCCGCCTCCCTCCCCCCCGAGCCCGCCCCCGGCGCGCCCGCCGCCGCGGTGCGCGTGCGGCTGCCCGACGGCTCCAACCACCTCCGGCGGTTCGGGGCCTCGGAGGCCGTCGGCCGCGTCTACGATTGGGTCAACTCACTGGAGGGCTGCACCTTCCACAGGTACACCCTGGTGTGCAGCTACCCGCGCCGCGCGTACGACGCGGACAGCCGGGGCCTCACCCTGGAGGCCGCGGGGCTCGCGCCGCAGGGCGTGCTGTTCGTGCAGGTGGAGGACGACGATGACTTCATCGCTGGCGGGGGCGGCGCGCCTGCGGCTGCGGGAGCGGGGCCGTCGGGGTCGGGTGGGTGAAAGGGCGTGAGAGCCCATGTTTTTACGGCTAGGTCCGGAGAGCGCAGGCATGTGCGTCTAGTCATGCATGCTGGAGTCGGTTTCTCTCTGCCCTTGGCCTGTGTCGGCGCTCTTGCTGTTACCTTTTGTAAACATCAAGACATTAGGCACCTTTTCTATCAGAACCTTATCCAGCTCGAGCTGTTGGGTGGTGGTTGTGACATGGCATCTCTATTGGCCGCAAATTTGGTAGCTTGGCTTGATGGCCCCTTTGGCTAGCAGCTTTGTCTTCCCAAATCACCTCATCACCTTGTTGTTGCAAAGTCTATCAGCAACTGCACACATTACTGCATGATGTCACTTGGCGTCACTGAAACCGATGCACAGCACATGATGGTTGTGCGACTAGCGCAACGCCCGTAATCACCCCTGCCGCACTGACTTTATCTCACAAAGCATACTCAAGTGTTCAATTCAGCCATATGCGATACATGATCAGCGTTAAATCGGCGAAATTGCTCAGATCCTTCTTTGAGAGCGCCGAGCACATATACATCCACGATCTCACAGACTTCAATACAGCCTATCTCATATAGCTGAGCTGCGACGTTGACACTGTCTGCTGAGCGCCTGGTACATCCAGTGTCGCAACCGCCAAGCAGGAGCAGAATCCAGAATGGGGACGCCGCGAGGGCGCGATGGGACAATTGACGTGCCGCGGCTGCAGGAAAGAGCCGCGCATTATGCCCATAAGGCGGGCGCATGCGATGTCACTGTCAAGCAGCTGCAGGAGCTGCTGTCCGATGACGTCGGGGGCGCAGTGCTGGCGATGTCGGAAGAGTTGCTGCACTCTCTGCTGGTCACAGACCTGTATAAGGTCAAGGTGGGCATCTTGGTGTACTGCATGTGTGAAAAACGTGCGTGTATGCTATTGTACGACTGCAACTAGTCATTAGCAAGGTGCGTGCTGATGCCGCAGGAGGAGCGCAGTCTGGTACAAATTTTGATGTTGGTGCATGTTGCAGGCATCTTCTGCATGGATTTGTCAGCAGCAAAATGTGTGCCGCTGTATATGAGTGTGAGGTTCTGCTGCAGCTGACGGGGCGCCAGTGTAGTGCCAGTGCGCTCGAAACTACGGGTGAGCATGCAGCCACCCCGTGCGCAGCTCTGGTGATGCCACCACCTGGTGTGCCACCACCCACAAGCCATTCGCCGTTGACACGCCTCTGCCACTAACTGTACACTCCATAGACGGCGCACATACGCAAACCCACAACCCCTTGTCAATCAGATGCAGGAGATGTACGCAGATTACCTCCTACCAGGCACCACCGCGGACTTTGTACTGCACATCAGGCGCTCCCCCCTGCCTCTCAAGCGGCTGCGCGAGGAGCACCCAGCCATATGGGCGGCCCTCGAGGCGCGCACGTGCTGCGCCATGCAGGAGGTGGACCCGCTGCCTCCAGTGTTCCTGGAAGCTCTGCGCGAGTTTTGCCCCGCGGTCGGGGCGGGCCGAGGCCGCGGCGGCGCAAAGCAGGAGCCTCCGGCGGGAGCCGTCAGGGCGGGCAGCAGCCAGGCAGGGGCTGCAGAGGAGGCGTGTGCGGGTTTTGAGCCGAGCACGGCGCTTCGGGCGGCGACGGCGGCGTGTGGCGTGGCACCGGTGCGCTGGGAGGAGACGGATGAGGGGGAGCTCGTGGCTGTGGCAGCCGGTGAGGGCGCGTTGGTGGCGTGTACAATTGGGGCGCAACGACCTCCCTGTATGTTCCCTGGGGTATCCAATCTGGGCAGGGTCATGTGATCACACACACGCCCTGCTTTGAGCACATGCGGCCGGCTTCGTTGACACTATCGCAGCTCTTGCATAGCGTTTCGTTCCTGGCCAAATCAAATTGTGGCTGGGTGCACACACGGAGCTCGAGCGTCTACCATCCACCCGAACAGCGCGCCTGCCGTCTTGGTTGTGGCTGTCTGTCTCCTCCTCCTCCCAATGCCAGGGCCTATCCACGCCGCAAGCAACGTGGAGACGACCCTGATGCAGGCGGTGCAAGAGGCCCTTCTCGACGCGCAGGCCGAGGCGCTGAGTCGTGCGTTATCCCCAGCCCGTCCCCATGCAGACGCCGCCGCCTTGCGCGCATCCGCACCCGCGCCAGCGGGAAACGCCGACGGCGCGCAGGCAGACGCAGAGCAAGCTGGGGCTGCGGCGTGGCCGGTCCGGCAGCTGGCGGTCGGCGGGGCAGCTTGGGCGCTGGACCGAACAGAGCGGCTGGCCAACAGTCTGGGGATGATGGCAGCGGTGGTGGAACGTCTGAACGCGGCTGGCCACAATTTCAAAATCGTCTTCATGGCGGGTGCGCTTCTGCGCGGGGGTGCTGCGCAGTTGGAGCAGTCGTGGGGAACACGTGGGATTCCTGTGTACCCGCACCCCTGAGCAACCCCATTGTGCCGAAATCCCATCGAAACAAACCGCCCTTTGCAAATGGCAACTGCCCCACTGCGCGGGCGCCCGCCCAGGCCGCCGCTCCAGCGACCTGCGCCACCTCCTGCTGTCCAACCTGTTCTTCATGCGCCACTGCAAGGGCTACGCGGGCACCTCCTCCGTCCTCGCCGCCGCGCTGCTCCGGCCAGCGCTCGCGCGGGCGGGGTGGGGCGCCGCCGCGCGGCGGGGGCTGGTGGGCGGGCTGGTGGGTACGCACGCGCACGAGATGGCGAGCGCCGTGCAGCAGCTGATGGCGGGGTGGGACGAGGCCGCCGGTGCGGCTGCGGGGTTCAAGGTGAGCGGCGCGTGTTACGTGCAGAGGTTGCATTTGCCCATGCGGGCTTCTGAGAGTGCAGGAGTTGCTGCGTGCGCAGGACACGTTATGGCTGCACCATGCTGCCAGGGGAGCGTGCGAGCCACCCAGCACGTGCGGCTGCCCCAGTCAGCACAGCCACGGATCAAGTCGCATGGCAGACGCAAGATTTCTCTGCTGCTGGCGGCCGCCACTCGACAGCCTGGTTGAGGCCAAGGCTTTGTAATCACACTGCTCAACTGACCAACTGCTACTGCTGTCGCTGAAAGATCGCGGACCTGCTCCTACGAGCGTGTCACCTGACCTCCCATCCCCTCAACACCCCCACCTGGCCCACCCGACCCCAACCGCCAGGGCCCTATCTGCATCACCCAGCTCCTGGCGCACCTGCTCTTCCTCGCAACAAACGGCCCAGGCCCGGGTGGCGCCGTCGCCCTGCCCGACACCTTCACCACGCCCGCGTTCCTGGCAGCCTCCTTGGCTGCCGACGTGCCGGCCCAGTTCATGACCGACGTCGCCGCCCGCCACGGCTGGACAGTGCCGCTTGGGTCAAAGGTGTTTGACCTGTTCCGCATCTGGCGGGTTGACAGCGGCGAGTGCGCCGGCGTCGCAGCGCGCATCCTGGACGCCTGGGAGGCGCGGGTGGCCGCGTGCACGGCCGCAGCGGCGGCCACACGCAAAGCAGAGGGCGGGAGCGTAGGACCGCCGCCGCCGCCGCCGCCTCCTTGGCCGCGGCTGCTGCACTCCAACCTGGGCACTGTTGAGGAGGCGCTGGGGCTCATGGCGCTGCCAGAGCGCCTGCGGCCTCACACACTCGGGTTTGGCGGCCTGGCCGACGGCTTTGGGGCGTTCAGCACGCCAGGGAGGAGCAGCGGGGGCGTCTCCGGGGGCGGGAGCGCCGGCGAGGGCACCGCAGCTGAAGGCGGCGAGGCGAGGCTGCAACTGGCGTCGGTCGTGATGAAGCTCGTGCAGGCGCGGCCGCCTCTGGCTGGTGGATGCAGTCAATGCATCAGCAGCAGCAACAGCACCGGAGGCGGCGGCAGCAGCAGCAGCAGCAGCAGCAGCAGCAGCAGCAGCAGCAGCAGCAGCAGCAGCAGCAGGGGCCGCAGCAGAGGCAGCAGCCGTGATATGCACGGCGTTCAGGCTTGCGCATGCAAGCTGGGGGATGGCTCTGGGGGCAGCAAGTTGCAGGTGGACCCATTCTTGCCAGAGGCGGACCGGCGGCATGTCGCAGAGGCCACACGCGCCGCCGCGTCGCGCACACGGCTGCTGTCGGCACGGGGCCCGCGGGCGGACGCGGCAAGCGCGATGCTGGCGGCTGCGTACCACGCCGCTTCGCAGTCGTGCGTGCTCAAGTTGAGTTGATGCGCGGCAAGGGTGATGCGCATGTGTTTGCATGCTCAAATTGGGTTATTTATGCGGCGAGGGTGTTGCGCACATGTTGGCAGGCCAGGGTCTGCAAAGCGGCATGAGCGGCATGAGCGTTCACCGTTAGCGCTGTTACAGCAAGAACAGAGAGGAGTAATAAGGAGAACCAGAGAGTTGCATGGAAAGTAGTTGGGCGCGGTGCACTTGTAGTGCTTGACAAGTAGTGTTGGGAAAGTCCCTCGACGCTTTGGATTAACTTCCATATGGGGGGCAGATCGCTGTGCAAGCAAGCGGCTGCAAGCAAGCACAAACAAGCAGTGGCAAGCAGATAAAACAATGCAATGCAGTCTATTTTCAGGGCCTGGGTGCGGCCCTGTCTCCAAGGCAGATCTGCAGGGCTACGAGGGTGGGCTGCCACTCCGCGACGCGGCAGCACTGCTGCCGACTACTGATGCTGCTGATGCTGCTGCATGCTTCTGCTGCCGCTGCCGCTGCCGCTGCTGTCGCCAGCGCAACTGCCGGCGCAACTTTGCTTTGCTTTGTTACAATTGTCTAGGCTAGCTAGACTCCTCCCGCCACTGTGACCAACCGGTGTGGAACCAAAAACAGGGGTTAAACACAAACTAGCCGCCCAAGGCAGGCGGCAACACACGTAACACCAAACAAGCCAAGATAAAGCTGCAGATATATAAACAGAGCAGTGAGGGCGCACTGCACACACCCCGGAGACATGCCTGGCCCTGGGCCCTGGGGCCTCTCCAGGGCACAGGTGGGCCGCAGGTTTGACTTGACCGCCTGCGGCGACGGTAGCGCGGCATCCGCGCCCCTGCCCCCCTGTCGGCGCCCCATGTTAGCAAGGGCATGACGGTGCAGGGGTGTTTGCCCGGGGCCCCCCGTCACCCCCGCGCCGCAGGCGGCGGATACAGGAGTGGTAGGGCCGTAGTCGGGCGGGTGTGGCAAGTAACGCCCCCCGTGCAATACGGCGCGGACAGCGAAGCCGCCCCGAGGAGTGCAAGGAGTTGTGGGCTCGACCCGCTGGTGGGAACATGGTAGACCAGGTGACAAGATGGTCAGATCGCGTAAAACACAACACAAAACCAACACAACGCCATGAAAACAGCAAGCCTCGCTGCGCGCAGCGCCCCCCACCCCGGGCCGCGCCGGCCGACGGCAGGGCCGCACGGGGCC